AAAATAAATAAATAAATAAATGAAACATATATTTATAAAATATAAATATAAAATCGGTAAATCACAGTCATGGTGAAAACCAACAAGGGAATACGAAAGACGAAGAACGCGTAGAAGCCGGCAATGAAGACTAGTAACTGCAGTGCTGATAAAAGCCCACTCAATCGCCTAGTCCTCAGTGACGGCAGTTATGCCAGAAGGGCGCTTGAAAGTTCCGCTTCCTTTTCCTTAGCACCCTCAGATGACGCAATTAGTCTTCCCCGTTGCGTGTCGTCACATCCCCCTCCCTTTCGCGCCGTGGCGTCACTATCCCCCGTTCTCCTCACCGCTTCCCTTCTTGGGGGCGCGCATGAGAATCTCCGCCGCCTTTTCGGCCGGTTGCCGGGAGAGCGACAGCAGCTCCCTTTCGTTGTACCGCATAGCTTCCACCTCAGCCCTGCCCCACCCCCTCAGCCCTCCGGCCTCTCGGATCTATGGCCTTTTTCTGCAAACGAGAAGCAATTCCCTCTTACTTCCGCCATGGCTTTCTCATGACCCGGAAGTATTCTTACGTAATATTTCCGGGTCTGACTCCTACTGCCTCCCGGCAAATTGGTCTCTCTGGTCATCTTTCATTCCTAGAGCAGACGCCTGAAAAGTTTCCCTCTTTTTCAGCACTCCTCTTGATATACTTCCGGCAGAATGTCCAGGCTGACGGCAAGCTAACCCGGAAGTGGACCCTGGCGGCGTTTTTGGCCTAGCCCTTCCAGCCTTGCGTAGGCGAGGAGGTGAAGGGGGATTTGGTCGCGCGCGTGGTTCGGTGCCCCTCGGCGGCTGATGAAGCGAGAGGGAGTCGAAACGGCACGGGTGAGGAAGAGGGAGAGAGAGTGCCAGACTTGAGATGAGTGCGGAGCTCAGAGGCCCTGATGGGGAATTAAGTGGGGGTGAGAAACTTGCGGGGGGGTGTCTCCAGGTGGTGGTGAGGCTGGAGTGGGAGCAGCGGGACTGATGGGAGGAGCAAACAGGCCCCAAAACCTAGCGAGACTCAGCCAGTCGTGGGAATGGGGGCAAGAGAGGTGAATGCCCTGCCGTGGAGGAAGGAAGACATACATCGCCACTGCGGGAGTAGAGGAACAAGCTTGTAATGATGAAAAAGGCGGGGGGTAACGAATACGGATTTGACAGGTAATAGGGTGGGAAGCTGGAAACTGGAGGCGGAGAGGAAAGTGGTAGGTACAGCAGAGAGGAACGTTATTGCATGGCAGGGGGATAGGAAAGGGGACCGAGATGATTGCAGATAGACCAGAGACCATAGTTTTGGTTGGAAGGAAAGAGGTAGGGCGTTGGAGAAAGATTTTCTCTCTTCCTGCAGAACGTGGAGGAGGTACCCAAAGGAGAATGAGAGCTTAGCCTGGAAGAGTTGAGATGAGAATGGGCACTGAAATAGAGGAGAGTGCCACAAACTTCTATGGCAGCACAGAGCAGAGGAGAGGAAGTCACCTTTTCCATTGTAGGGACAGATTTTAGTGTGAGAATTTGAACTCAGTTTCCCCACAGGTGATTGAAGTTGGCTAGTCACAGCATTTTTCTTTTGGCCTTGGTATTACGATTATTAATTTGATTTATTACAGCCACCCTCTCCAAAAGACTTGCCTTCTCACTTACGTTAAAGCTCCTCCCGTGTTATGTTAGTGTCCTGGAAGTGAAAGATCATGGCTCTGCTTTTGTTTACTGGTGACTACATTCCAGCCTATTTAGAAATCTCAGTGTTAATTTTTTTTTATTGTTTCTGTCTTTCTGTTTGTCTAAACAATCAACGTTTCTTATAACAATTGAGATACAGTGCTCATATGAATATACCTATTTAAATTTTTGTGCAGATTTTTCACATTTTCTCAGGATATATTAGGACCAAGTATTGAAACAAGTGATTAACAATTGCAGCACCTTTATTTATTTGATTTTGGTAGCACCTGAGTTTAGAGTGACTCTGGGCAGCTCACAGTATAAAACAGAAAGAAATGCAATAACGAAGTCACCCATTGGGGGGAGATGGGCCGCATACAAATTTAATAATAAATTTAATAATAAATAAAAATAAAATAAATAAAAAGTAATACAACAGCAGTCTGGACACCAGCATCAACACAAAAACAAAAAATATCATTTCTAACAAGGGGGGAGGTGTTCCATCCACCCTACCCCAAGGCCTAGGAGAACAGCCAGGTATTTAACGCCTTCCTGAACACCATCAGGGTGGGAGCTGTTTGGATTTCAGCGGGGAGCTCATTCCAGAGTGCAGACACCACGACAGGAAGCATGCTTCCTGGGTCTCAAAAGATAACACTGTTTGTTTGTGGGAAACTGGATCATACCCACTCTGTTGGCTTTTACCCACCACACAGAAACTGTAGAAGTTAGACAGTCCCTCAGATAACCAGGCCTTATGCCATGTAGGGCTTTATAGGTGATAATCAGCACCTTGATTTGCATCTGGAAACATATTGGTGACCAGTTCAGCTTACAAAGCAGGGATGTTCATGTGAGCTTGCCAAGGCAGGCCTACCACTGCTTGTGCTGCTGTATTCTGGACCATTTGCAGTCCAAATGGTCTTCAAGGGCAGCCCCATGTAGAGTGCATTGCATTAGTTGAGCTGTGAAGTGACAAGGGTTTGAGTGACTATGTAGAGAGCTGCCCAATCCAGGAAGAGGCACATCTGGTGCACCAGATGAACATGTGCAAATTCCCTCTTGACCTCAGCTACCGCTTGCTCTTTGAGCAAGAGCTGTGAGTCCAAGAGAACCCCAGATTGCACACTGCTCCTGAATGGGGACATGCAACCCCACCCAGGAGTAAAGGTGGAAGATCCCTGGATTTAAACAGTCTAAACAGCCACAGCCACAGCTGGAGTTGGTTTCTCCCCATCCAGGCCCACACGGCCTCTAGGCACTGGGACAAGACCTTGACCTCACTTGGCTGACCGTGGATTCATGGGATTCTTCAAGATGTTAACATCACTCTCCTGCTTGCTCTTGAATTTGTGATACATTTTCTGTCCATATTATTATTTCAGACAGAAGAGAAGAGAAGATACTGGCTTGTTCTGCCCATTTCAGGAGCCAAATAAATGATCTCTCTCTTCTTTTAAGTATTTATTGAGCTGCTTTGAACCAGTGAGAGGCAGGGCATACAGTTGCCCTTCAGTTACTTTTGTTTGATTATAGTAGTATGTTGTCTGATGCATTCTACATGGCTGTTAATTAAAAATAACTTGTTTAGAACATAGAACTAAATTTTCTCCTCTCGTTCTCTGTCTCTAATCCCCAGCATTTTGAAGCACAAAAACTTCAGCCATGGATTTTCAGCACCGCCCAGGTGGAAAAACAGGGAGTGGAGGTGTTGCTTCGGCCTCAGAAAGCAACAGGGACCGCAGAGAGAGGCTGAGGCAACTAGCCTTGGAAACGATAGATATCAATAAGGTGAGCTTCTACTTTTTTGTTGTGTGGTGAATAAGAAGTATAATTTATTAATGATGAAATAAAGGACTATGTAAAGGACTGATTGAGCTATTAGCCCACAGCCAACATCATTCAACACTTAAGATGTTACGCTCAGACTGAGAAGACCCAGGTGCAGGTCCATCCTCTGCCACAAGAGCTCACTGCATGACCTGTGCTGTTCACTCTTGATCTTGCTAGCTGTTTGCAAGGATCAAATTAAGGGGAAAAAGTGTGGTGCATGCCACAGTGAACTCGTGGAGGAAAAGCAGTATGTAGACATAATAAAGAATGACCTTTTTAAGGCCGAACATGTATTTTTCAACAGCATATCTCCAGTTTAATCCCTAACATCTCCTGCAAAATGGTATTTATACATTAAACAGTATTGAAGGCTTCCCTCTTCCTTTTCCATCAGAACAAACAGATCTGAACTACATGGGCCAAAAGTGTAGTTTTCAGGGACACCCAGAATTCCCCAGATGCAGCACCCTGAGGTAGCAGGTTTGGGAAAGACCTCTCTTTGATCAGTAGCTACCAGTTAGAGCAGACAGTATTGGGATAGTAATGAAAGCATATATAACAGGTAGCCCTCAACTTACAACCATTCATTTAGCAACCAAAGTTATGACGGTGCTGAAAAAAGTGACTTACAACCAGTCCTTGCACTTATGACCGTTGCACCGTCCCCACAGTCACGTGACCATAATTCAGGCACTTGGCAACCGGCATGTATTTATGATGGTTGCAGCATCCCAGGGTCACATGATTGCCATTTGCGACCTTCCCAACTGGCTTCTGACAAGCAAAATCAATGGGGTAGCAGGATTCATTTAATGGCCACATTATTCATTTAATGACTGCAAATTTACTGGTCCCTATTGTGGTCCTAAGTCAAGGACTACCTGTAAATTATACATATGTGTTGGGTGTATGCATCTCTCCATGGATATCAATAATTTTGATACGATCACCCCCTTGGCATTTTGAAGGCAAACCTTGAGTCTTCTGGCTGCCATGGCAGAGGTTGCCTGTTTGGCAGATGTCTGCCAGTGGACATGGCAGTAGCCAACATATAAAAGTGAAGCTGGGGAAGGGAATATTCTTTGGGCACTGGGTTGTGACCCTGCTATACCCCGCTGTAGTTGAATATGCTGTTTAGACATAGATGTAACAGTAAATATAAAATGGGCCAGCCACTGGGAATCCCAGAACTGTGTCTGAAAATACCAAAAAAACAACTCAGATGTAAAGGTTACGTGAGGAGGAAGTCATAGTTGGGGCGTTAGATTTTAGTTCAAGGTAGTTTGCTGCCAGAAACCATCTGTAGGCTTCACATGAGGTTTGTTTGGCTTTGTTTTGTATTTGTGCCTTCAAGTCAGTGTTGATTCCTGGTAACTGCCTGGACAAGTCCCTGCAATTTTCTTGGCAAGATTTTTGGGAGCGGTTTGCCATTATCATCTTATTAGGGCTGAGAGAGAGTGACTGGCCCAAGGTCACCCAGCTGGCTTTGTGCCCAAGGCAGGACTAGCATCATGGTCTCCTGGTTTCTAGCCTGGTGCCTTAACCGCTACACCAAACTGGCTCTCTCACATATATAGCCTGTGTGAAGCGTACTTCCTGGGTATGGTACATGTGTACTTCCTATATTGCCCAAACTGAGACTTAACCCTTATTTTTTTTTCCTACCAGGATCCCTATTTTATGAAAAATCACTTGGGATCTTATGAATGCAAACTTTGTCTGACGCTGCACAACAATGAGGTGAGGACTTATTTTTGCAAATGCATTCTGTCCTCTGAGGAATGGTGTAATTCAACAATAAGGGATTGTGAATGCCCCGACCTCAGCCCCAGGTATTTCTGGGAGAATTGAGGCCTGTTGCAACCCTTCCAACTTCTAGAACCTACTGATTGATTTAATTGTTGATATTATTTTATTTGGCTGTGTTAATTCTTCATTATTATTATTTATCCTTGTATTGTTAATAGCTTTGGTTAGTTGTTCAATTTATATTTTAACTGTTATGGATG